CAGCTGGAGGAGAACAGAGAGAAGCCCCGCCCCCAGCTTTCCTCTGGCTCGTCTTGTCACTGTTCAATAAAGTTTGAGTGTTGAACGTGACCTCTGAGCGTACCTGCTCCACCTTCTCTGGGCTGGCTCCGCCCTCTGTGTTGTTATTGGTCGCCTGGGCGTCCTGGCTCGAGTCCAGCAGGATCTGGGGACGGCACAGAGGAGAACATGGAGTCAGTCACGGCTCCACCTGTGAGACGTGTACGAGGAGGCGGGGCCACTGACAGTGTAAGCTCTGTCTACGTTCCCGTCGGCGTGGTGCAGGGCGCGGGCGGCGTCTCTCTGGGAGAACCCCAGCTCCATCAGGGCGGAGATGGCCTCCATCCTCGTTCTCCTCTTCTGCCTCTCCCTCTGCTTCAGCTCCTCCCGCTCCTGATAAAGACAGATAAAACTTTATTAAACGCTCAAACGGGACGACGACAGGCGGTGAACTGACTTCCTGTCAGGTGTTACCTGTCGGCGGGTGCTGATGTGGATGGGGGCCTCCTGCAGGTCGCCCCGGGAGGCTCTGAGGCCGAGCCGAGCTTCTCTCTCGCTGAAGCCCAGCGCCATCAGCTGAGCCATCTTCTCCGAGTCGGGACGCAGGCGCGCGTACAGAGACTCCACCTGACACACACAGCAGCTCAGTGAGCCACTCACACACAGCTGGATTATTGTGGACTGTCACTCATGCTAAGCTGAGGTGAGTCTCACCCTGGAGAGCTGCAGCCGCGCCTCAGAGTCGCTTCCTTCGATGTAGGAGAGGAGGCTCTGCAGGAGGTACAGACGCAGGAACAGCACCTCCTCTCTGCCCGTGTTACCCTGGCAACACACACATTAAGTGAATGACAGGCTGAAGGTTACAGCGTAGATTCACTGCAATAACTTAAGCATAGCTCATCAGCATGTGTTACCATGGTGATACATCCCAGTAAGAAGTAAACAGTGGACATCTGCAGTGAGACTGTTCAGCTTCACATTGTTTACAACATGCTGATAAATTACATTTTTTCATTAAAACTTTATTTATACAGGTCGTCACACTGAGACTCAATGTGTCACATACATGCTCACTCTCAGCATCGTCTAAGAAGCTGACCAATCAGAGTGCAGTTTGTCTTCACCTCCACTCAGCCTGCTCAAACCTGATTGGTCAGATTCTCAGTCTGACCTTGATCATCAGCAGTCTCTCCTGCTGTTCTCCGTAGCAACGCAGGAAACAGTCCTCGGCTCTCTGCAGGCGGCTCCGCCCATCCTCCAGGCAGGACAGCGCCTCCAGGGCGCGGTAACACCACACGATGTCCAGCTGCAGCACGGCGTAGTTATCCACGGAGCTGAGCAGCGCCGAGCCGCACTTACTGCACACACACACATACAGACACACACACAGACACACACACACACACACACTCTCATTAATGACACAGCACGCTGGATGTGCTGGAAAAACCTCCTCACTCTGGAAGTTTATTTTGAAAGGCTGGTGCATGTTGCGCTCACACACAGGGACTTCCTGTCTCATGAACACAGTTTCAGGCGTTTACAGTGACGGTGGATGAAGTGTCTCTGACCTCAGGCTGATAAACTCATGACTCGTGGTGAGCTGTGACGCGGCTCAGAGCCAATCAGCTCGCTCGTACCTGAACTGCTGGTCGGCCTGCAGCAGGTGACACAGAGCGTTATCGTGCTGCTTCCTCTTCATCAGAGCCCGACCTTTCTCATGGAAGCCCATGGCCAGGATCAGAGCCTGCACACACACACACAGAGGTTACACAGCAGCGCCCCCTGGTGTCTGACCTCCACACTGCGTCCTGTCTCAAACTCCACCTTCTTCTCCGTGGGGGGAATCTTCAGAGGGTTTCCTTTCTGGTCGGCGATCTCCAGGAACGGTGTGGTGTCTGGGTCCTCGCTGCCGTCTGATGGAGAGGAGCAGACATTTAAAAACAAACAGCTGTGCCCCTCCCACTGCCACGCCCACATGGTGACCTGTTAGCCTGGGACACCACCCTTCTGTGGTCACCTGTGGGCTGAACAAAGGTGTGTTGGAGGCGTGGTTGTTTCCTCACCTCTCTCTGACAGGATCTGGAAGCCTTTCTGGGTCCTCTGGACGCTCTCCTCCTGGCTCCTCCTCTCCTCCTCCTCCTCCGTCAGCTGCTGCTTCAGCTCGCCGTCGCTCACCCTCAGCACCATCACCTTGCTGTGGTTCTTCACGCCCTGCTCGTCCAGACGCCGCTCTGCACACACACACGCTCACGCTCTGCTCTGACAGATCACATGACTACTGCAGCTGTGAGGTCACTGACCTGCAGACAGAGTCCTCCCACTCAGGATCAGCTTGATGCTCCTGAGGCCGTGCTCCTCAGCGACCCTGCACACACACACACACACACACACTTTACTAGAGTATTGAATGGAGAACTGGTTCTTCTGCTTCCCAGTATTCCAGCTCCTTGGAATCATTTGTCTGCCTGTTGATCCCACTTCTTGTCCTCACACTACGATCAGCTGATTTCAGCTTGGATGTCAGAGGAGGAAAACAGTGACCATGTGTGTCGAAATGTATTTTTTATTGCACAAAAGAAGAAGATGAATGTAAATGTAAATAAGTGAAACGTGCATCCAGGACAGAAACACTCACAGTGCTGCTAACACAACCTCACTTCTTTACATCTGCACTGACAGCATGCTAACGCTAAGCTAACCCAGAGCTAAAGCTGAGCGTGTGCAGACTCCAGCCCAGCAGCCAGAGCCTGAACCTCAACAGGTAACAAACTGACGATCAGTCAGGCTGCAGCCTTGTTCCTGTTTCTACAGTAGAATCACCATGGCAACCATTTTTTGTGTGTCTTCATCTTTGATTTGTGTGGTCAGCTTTGTGCTATGTTAGAGGTGTGTGTCCTCAGGTTTATATGTTTAAACAGTGATTATGAGACTGCAGCTTTTTTACAGAGTAACATGAAAGTAATGCAACGAGTAGTGTAACTAGTTACCTTTTCCCAGGAGTAATTAAGTACTGCATTACTTTTACACCACGTTCCAAATTATTAAGAAAATTGTATTTAAGTGTCACAAAGATTAAATATGTTGTCTGTGAAGGTTCTCAGTCATCCAGGTCATTGTAGTCAAAGGAGCTTGCAAAGAAAAGCGTCTGGACTTCTTTTCTTTCCGAGAAGCTTCTTCAGTTCGAAGTTCCACCATTTCCACCAGGGGTCCTTTTGTCCCTCTGTGGGGGGAAACTCCCACTAGGTTTATATCTGGGACTCTCCACCATTTGACCTTAGAACTGAAGAAGCTTCTCGGATGAAGGTGAAACGTCTTCAAGTAACTTAAAGAAGTCCAGACGCCTTTCTTTCAAGCTCCTTTGATTAAATATGTTGTTTTTCAATCAAACTCATGGATAGCATTGTGTCTGTTTGGATCACTGACATCAGCCTCAGACACCTGTGATCATTAGTTTTCTACTAAAGAAGCATGCGCCACATTATTAAGCACACCAAGCAACACGGAAAGAAAAAGGATCTCTGCTGAAAAGTGTGAAACAGTTGACTTGGACACATAATGAAAACCTTTCATGTAAACGTGAGCGCGATCGTCGTACTGCTCAGACATCACACTCACAAAACTCTCCAGGTCCATGGATGCTATCAAATAAGGGTTCCTGTTATTATGGAACCTGTTAATGTTTTTGATTGAAATAGTTTTGATTTCAGTAAATTTGATCTCCTAATGGTGCAAATTCAACAAATGATCACTTTCAGTTCTTTACAACCAATAAAATGTTTGGAAGCTCTGTTGGCCTTTTAAGTTTGTCAGTTTAGAAAAACACGGTTTTCATTGGGAGGTTTGTTCAGTAACATTTGAACTACTACACACTCGGCCTGTGATGTAATCGAGTACCTGTCCACCACCTGCTGCGCCGACACGTCCAGCCTCGTCTCCAGGTACGTCCTGACCTTTGGATCCTGGAAGCAAACACTGAGGTCATTCTCCTCCAACACAGGAGAGCAAAGCATTGTGGGTCGGTGTGTGTCATGTGATGAGTGTGTGGCGTGAGGTACACCTTCAGGTAGCTTCCTCTGTCCTCGCCGCCTTCGTTACCTTCTTAGCGTTTCGCGGCAGCAGCAGCTCCAGCGTCGCCACGCTCGTCTCCCTGAACGTTTGGTTTCCTTTGCCTCGCTTCACCGCCTGAGCTCGGATCGACTCCAGAGCGCCCCCTACCTCCGACACGGGCAGGCGCAGCAGGGGGGCGTAGCGCTCCGCCAGCACCTGATGGAAGAAGAACAGCACTGAGCGCGCTCAGAACAGAATCCAACGGCGCTGCACATGGGCTGAACTTTGCTGTGACGCTGAGACAAAAACCTCACTGATGCTTGAATCTCAGTGAAACAGAATCCGTCCTGTTGTCTCATGTCTCCTCATGTGTTTCTCTATATGTGTTTCACTGGGTTAGTAAGTTGTTTTACGGAGGTTTCCTCTGACAGGAAAGAAAAACTGAACTCTTTCATGATGGTTTTATTTCTTTGTTTTAGCAGATTTATTATTTTATTGGATTCATGTAAATGATTAATTTCTTAAACAGCGTCACAAAGTAACCTTTATAGACCTGACTGAACGTTATATCCTCATACTTTGATCTCAGTAGGAAGGTGTGTGTGGCCACGCCTCCTCAGGCGGGTCACCCACCTGCATGTGCTGCTGGCCCGGCTGCTGGTCCTGCTCGGTGTACGGCGGGTTCCACAGCTGGATCTTCTCCTGCTTCAGGAGGTTCTTCAGCTTGGCCTCCAAGTTCTGCTCCGTCATCGTCTCTGAGAGGATACAAGATAAAAACTGTGACGTCAGCATCTCAGGTCCACGAAGACCTTTTTAAAACCCCTGGACCAGGTCAGAGGACAGCTGTTGCTCACATCTGGAAGCATTTTAGTGAAGCTCCGCCCCCTGATGGTGGCCGGCGATCACTACAGGAAGTGCAGCTGTAATAATCTGTTTCCTGACTTTGAGTTAAAGCTGGGGTTAGTCATCATAAATCAATCAGTCCTGTCACACAGAGCTCCAGCTGCATGATGGGAAATTTAGGATCCACACAGCAGCCTCCTTGTATAAAGTCCAGAGGTCAAACTAAAGTTCAGAGGTCATACTAAAGTTCAGAGGTCAAACTAAAGTTCAGAGGTCAAACTAAAGTTCAGAGGTCTCGGTGACTTCAGCACAAACCTGTGGTGTGTCTTCAGCTGCTCCAAACTCTGCTCCCGGCGGATTTACGACACAACAGCCTCAAACACGACACTTAATCAGAGAAATGACGCCACCGGGCTGACATCAGCAGCTAACAGCTCCAGGTGAGCACAGCTGCTCTGACAGGTAGCTCACTGTCACAGGACCCGACGGCGACCAGCTGCTCGGTCTGAGAGCCGGTAAAAACTCCGGTAAAGCTCCGGTACAGCTCCGCGGCGGCAGCTCTCTGCTGTTGTTTACGTGAATCAGGCTTTTCTGGGAAGGAGACGAGCGCTCACTCTGCGCATGCTCCAGGATCAGCTGATCGCAACAACGACGTCTGCCGAACACAGGCCGACGCTCCAGGGCCACGTCACAGCAGACACGAGTCTTCACGAATATAGACGATCTTTGATCCTGCCGTACGGTCGCCCACGAGGGTCAAAACGAACAAATGCTACCTTAATGACGCAAAGGGAAATGTTTTAAAAATGTAAATACTAGTAAGTGCAGCAAAAAATATATTGTTTGAAAATTATTGAAAATAAAATAAATAAGCAAATGATAAAAAAGAAAACCAGAAAATATAACAGTGAGTGGTACGACATGTTTAAAAAAAAGGCAAAATAACAATTCAAAATAAAGTAAGACCTACTTTTAAAGCTAAGACAACCCAGCAGGATCAAATTCAATCATAAATAATAAAAAACAATTTAAAAAAGTATAAGTAAGTGTAACCGGTGTGATTCTGCGTTGTGTCTGATAAAAAGGTAAAAGAAAGACCTCCAAGTAAATACTTTGCCCACTCCAGCTCCTCTCCCACAGGGGAATTGTAGATAAGGGCAGAGAGGCAAAAGGGGTACACTGTATTTATAGGGTTGCACCAAAGAAGAAGAAGAAAAGAATGAGGAGGGGCTCTAACTGATAATGAACATAACTACAGGCTCGGAGGTCCTAAAAGTCAGGTATAAAAGGAACAGTTTGGGGGTTTAGAACACATTTTGTGTAATTATAACAATGTGATTTATGACCCTGTTACATAAGAACATTAACAGAGACAAATCCAAAATCTGTGGTTATACATTTATTTCAAACATTATCTCTGTGTTTGTTCTTTCTATTTGTTTTCTACATCCTATCAACAACAACGTCATACTACCACAAACAATAATAAACTATGTTCCCTTTTGTAGATAACAGTGATGTTATGTTTGTCCATACTGCCTGCCTTTGCTGCAGTTACGGAGGTTTCCAGCAGAGGTCGCTGTTTTTCTAACTGGGCTATGTGTGCTTCCTGTTACCTGTACGAACGTGTAAGTTGTAGTGATGGGATTTCCGGCTCTTTTTAGAGAACCGGCTCTTTCAGCTCCGAACCAGCTCTTCAGGTTGTTTTGTTGCTTTAATAGATTTATTATTAACAATAACATAAAATTATGCACAAAGGGAATAATAAAATTTTAAAAAGTGGTTTTATTTATATATGTTTATATATAAATACTTAAATCACTTAAATTACACAATTGAAAGCATGTGTGTATTGTTTGTGTATTAGTGGGTGAATGTGTGTGTGAATGGGTGGATGACTGGATGTGTAAAGCGCTTTGGGGTCTTTAGGGACTAGTAAAGAGCTATACAAATACAGGCCATTTACCATTTACCATATTTATACACAAGCACTCATATATATTCAAATAATT